ATGATTTCGGCCATTTTGCGAATGCTTTCAGAAGGGAAAACGAAACGAATAGGTGTTGTTTGCCCAACCGACCTGCCGAAGACCCCGGGGACGTCCAAGAGTGACTTAATGCAAGTACCTCGACATACTCTGCTACACATTGCGTTTCTCTTCTGCCGAAAGTCTGGAAACGCTGACAGAGGATCAGGAACGTTGGAGATGCTATCTGACGCGTTTAATTCAGCGGCTCGAAAACATAAGCGGTCATCAAAAATAACTAACTGATTGACTGGCTGCTCTCTGTATAATGTATTGAATTAATGTTTTGAATTTTTGATGTTTTGTTTTATTCTTAAGTTTATTCGATTGTTGTTTCACATAAGTTATTAATTTTGATTATAGTCTTTTGTTTTTATTTATGCAGCAAATTTTCAAACGTCCTAAAGAAGTAGAGGCCATTTTAGGTGAGCTAGTTTTAAAGAAGCAACAGCAGTACTTACTTAATCAGACCGGACAGATGATTGTTAATGAATTGTCAAAACCGGCAAAAGGGTTATTAATTATTAATGAATCGAGGAAGTCATGATTAATCGTCTCCGAGTAATCAAGTTAGAGAGACTTAGTCCATAGCCCGATAAGATGTACGGCACGTAAACAATGAATACACGTAACAAAAAACGTTGATTTTTTTCTCGAAAACATGATCGGACACTACGACAGAGTAATTTTTCCCGCAACTAAATGCGGTTCTGAGACCTATCCCTAAACAAAGATAGATAAATAATTGTTAACAGGGCAACTGAGAGCTATGAAAAGAAGAGTGCTTGTCGTTTCGATCATGGACACGCTTCAGAATAAAGAATCCAGTCTTTCCTAATCAGTCTGTTTCTCATAGTGCCTTCCTGGTCACACATGACCTGTTCTTTTGAAGGAATTCTACATTGGTATGGACGATTGGTACATTGCTTTACTTTTATCCTTTCATATTACCCCCTGGGCAACAGAAAAAAACAGAGAACGTAGTTGGCGTATATTTTTATTACGGCGTATATTTTATTTATTGTTGCTTCGGCAACCGGATATATGAGGACCCATTAATCGTCAAGCTCTTCCTTAGTTGAAATTAACATTTCATTGAAGGATTCGAAACCTAAGAACAATTTAATGTTTATGGGACGGCATATGAGGAGCAGCAGTCCTGAAACATCGTTCATAATGAACGGCAAGTTGCACTAGCGAATCAAATGATGCGAGATGCATGTGGCACCGCAGGCCATGAAGCTGTGGGCTGCTTAACTGGTCCCACATTTACCGGCGTTGCAACAAGCCGTGAAATCTGGTGTTGAATGAGTTTGCGTTTTCCGTTTTCTACATGTGTATGTATTTTGTGTTAAATTTAATACTGTTATTGTGAACGTTTTGTAGTAGTGGTTATTTTGTCCAGAAACCTTCCCGTTCTATGAATTCGTCTGAGTCCCCCGTTCATATGAAGTTAACCATTAATCCTGCCTTTCTAGAAGAGGAAGCAGTATCAAATTTCTGGAACTGCAAAACGCAGAAATTTTGTGGTATGCGATCACAGCTTAAATTGGAAATTTTAACGTACTTCCTTCTATGTTATTTTCTAGAGCTTACCGAACGTTTAACCGAACCTTTTCACTGCTGTTGCCTGGAGGATTTCGTCCAAGCTGATGATCTGATCAGATATTTCGATTCTTTGCGCGAGGAGCTGACTCCCATTCTCACCATCAAAAGATGCAGCGACCTCTTCCAGTTTTTGCAGGTATTTAACATATGCTATTTAGACTTTTATGCCAAGTCCGAGAAGAATAAGACGCATGAGTTAGAACGCGACGTATCTTGGGGATAGTGGAAGCAAAAACAGTTTTGTGAAGTCAAGGATAGTATGAAGCACTTTTCTTACATATTCAATTATTCTGGATTCTCTTGACGGACCACTTGAAACTAGGTCTAAGACCAAACCAACGGCTCGAGTATTTTGAGTACTTAACAACGTCGTGGCATGAAACTTTGACCGGGAAACCAGCAGCCTAATTGCCAGCGGACCGCCATTTTATAAACCTCATGTAATTGTTCCATTACTTCAGCATAGTTGTTGGTTGCGAAAAAGAACGAGTTATATTCATTGTTTTTTATGCTTCGCATTTACCTTACTGCGCTTAGTTTCCTGGTTACTTGTTCTTCATGTAAATGATTCGTTCATGCCGTCTTTATTGATAATGTGGGTTATGCTGCTGGTTATTGAGTTCTTAGCCATTAGAATTTTCATTGTTAGTCATGCTAAATGATCCGCGAAAGAAATTTTTGTATCTAATGAGCAAACAGTATTAATTTCCGTACGGAAGTATCAGCCGAAGTAAAAGATACATCTGCATGTATTGAGTGAACATCGCTACGATAATCAGTTTTTATAAATTACAGAAAAGTTACTGGCCCTGAGAATGTGTCCTCTGGATGTGCCAATGGGATCATGTATAATAGGTAACCATTCTAAAGAATATCAGCAAACGCCATCCTACGAAATGTCTGTGAACTACGTGCTGGTATGGGAGATTTGACATGTTGACTTGTGACAATCGGTTCATAGCAGTTCGGCTGTGAGAATTGCTGAAGTAATGTTGAGGCAACAGCTTTGACAAGTCTTTCGTAATCCCACGTCCGTGATCCGTCATCCGTCGTGGGAAGCAGGTAATCACCCATGGCTTTCGGGATGGCTTAATTGAGTGAAATGCTGTATTCTCCTGAGTCGCTATACCGAGCTCTTGATAATTTTTGCCTTAATTCTTTTTAGAAAAGTTTCAAATGACGAAATATTTTGTTCATAGTTGTTCACTTCAGAAAACGATCAAACAGTTTATTAATATATAATGCAATACTCTGCTTTATCGGGACGGACTGATGACAAGTTTTCAATCGCATCTTTGCTTTTGTCATTGTAAATTTAGTATCGAAATTGGGGTGCCGTTGCCTCTTGACTCCAAAGGAAACTTTTTCTGTGGACGATCCAAATAGTAAACGAATGGGCCATCGGAATGTGGGAATCTTATACTTCTGTGTAAGGTTAAGCCGAATATACACCGCCGTTTCTTGTGAAGTCAGAGACTGACCTTGTATGATATATGATGGCTTTTCCTTGGGCTAAGGAGGGACTAAAGTAAAGCTTATACTCTTTGATTTCAGCTAACATACACACCTTTCTTCACACGTTCAGATAGATGCTAAGAGGAACCTGATGATCCGTAATTAGGTCGGGTCTAACACTAATCTAACACTAACGTTTGCTGTCTAAACTATCAAATCCTTGTTCGGACAGCCCAGAATTAGCACAGTTAGAATGGTAGATGAACTGTTTCACAGAATCTTACTCGCAGCAGAGTGAAAATGTATCAGATTAAGTAAAAAAATAAACCTGCTTTAAGTGGTCATGCATAACTGTTGATTTTCTTTGGCGGATCTTCGTTAGATGGTCATCGTTGTTCATTATAGAGCACAGATTTCGCAAACGTTTCGACGCCTGCGATCACCGCTATCAAGGACTTCTTTTACACTACGGTTCGAGACTGGTTCGCCAAGGTGACGGGCTTTGAATTGGATAGCTACGTCGCACTGTCCGCTTCGAGCTATGGATACACCGATCGACTTTTATGTCATGATGACGAACTTGAGGAGAGGCTGATCGCTTTCGTGCTTTATCTGACGCCTGATTGGACCGAACGGGACGGAGGTTCGCTGGACATTTTCCACACTGATGGTAGTGTTTTCTTTATTTGTGAACAACACCTGATTCTGAATAGTATATGCTTTCAAAAGGAATTAAAAGACAAAATTATTGCATCGCAAAACAGCATACTAGGATATGATACAGTCTACGAAGTAACGCAGTAAAGCCATGAAAAGTCCTTTACTTCAGTATATCAAGCGAATTGATGTAGATGTTACATGCATTGTTTGGCGAACAGACGTATGTACTGATATTTTAACTGTTAAATTAGTTTTGTGTATATCCTCGTGAATAGTGAAGACATGGTGGCATCAAGTCCGTTCATTATTATTATTATTATTATTATTATTAT